ATGAAGCAAAAGTAGATATTACTATTTATTTATCTATTTATTTAATTCCTAGAAAAAGCATCGTATTTCCATTAACATTCCCTTCCTAAAATAACCCTAATTTTTAGTTAGTATTTTTTTCGGATCCTTTTTTTATTAAATTTTCTAATGAACGCGGTCAGAAAATTATTTTGAAAGTTGTTCTTGTATGATACTAGTACGTCAAATACTGTCCAACATTTCGTCTCTGTCCCCAAAGGAAAGGAGAAAATTACAAAAAATAAAAGACGAGCAAACAGGAAAGACATTAATGACGAACGAACAAAAGCTCTGGTTCTCACTGCGCCTGTGCTACATCATGAATGTATTTTATTTTCTATTCTTTTTTCCAAAAAAGCATCATGTTTACTTGTGTGCGTAGCGGTTTGTGTGTTTGTGTATTTGTCCTCTTGTAGTATCAACATTTCTACACGTGGACCTTTGAAAAAATGCTGAATATGGCTTAATGAAAAGCTAACAAGAATAAAAAAACAACAGAATTTCTGGTATTATGAATCACTTTGCATTGAAAAGCGTCCCGAGACGGACACACACACGTACTCACAATAGTTTCATTCATTCACACCATCGCATTCATGAGTGAATATTTGCCAGAGTTACCAATGACTTAACACCATGCATACAAGGAAAAAATATTTCGGATGTGACGCCTATATTGTTATTTTTGTAAATTGCTGGTCTACATAATAAGAACTCAAAATGGCAACATTTGGCAAAATTAAATGGAAAACATGGTCAAAAGATCGGTTCAGATTTGAATATAGCTCCCATATATATCTTCAACCGATTTCAGGTTGATTGTGTATCAAATGACTAATATAAGTCCAAATTTTGGTACATCCGACGGAATTCAGTCTAGAAGCAAGAACATTAAATTTGCTGAAAATCGGTTCAGATTTAGATTTAGCTCCCATATATATATTTCATCCGATTTGGTGTTTAAGTCCATCTCATGCGTAATATTTACCCCCAAGAATGATATTTGGTACCAGATATCAGATACAGCTCAGAAATACATCCGACAAATTGTATCAAGATCGGTTTAGATTTGAATATAGCTCCCATATAAATGTTCAACCGATTTCAGGTTAATTGTGCACCAAATGGCCAATATCAGTCCAAAAATCCTGAATTTTGGTAACTACGACGGAATTCAATCGAATTCGGAGAAAATCGGTTCACATATAGCTATTGCTTCCATATATATGTTCCATCCGATGGGGGGTTTAAATGCCTCACATGCGTAATATGCACTCCACAACAATAATCTTTGGTACCAAATATCAGATAAAGCTCAGAAATAAGTATTTACAATTTTGTCAAGATCGGTTCTGATTTGGATATAGGTCCCACATATATCTTTAGCCGATTTCAGGTTAATATTAGTCCAAATGCACTGAATTTTGCACAATTCGGACTTAATTCATCTTAGAAACAAGTACTTTAAAGTTGGTGAAAATCTGTTCTGATAAAGCTATAGCTCTTATATATATGTTTCATCCGATTTGACTATTTAAGTCCTTCACATGCATAATATTCCCTCTACAACAATGATACCAAGAAATCAGACAATTGATACCAGACATCAGATACAGCTCGAAAATACCTCTGTCTGAGATCGGTTCATTACTTAATTTAGCTTCGGTATACATCTTCATCCGGTTTTACGGTTATTGCTCTCCATAAAGTAGATTTGGATAGATTTTTTTTCATACTCAACCGAATTTTACCATTTGGTTAAACTCTAGGTCTCTTTGGACCAAATCCGTTTCAGGTTTCCGGTTTGGTCCAAACTAGGTACATAGTAATATTATTATCAAACTTAGATCGGAGTTCGGAGATGGGTCCGCTCCTTCTGGTACCTCCCCCACAAAGGTTCAACATTTTGAATCATCATAGATCTTATAAAATCTGAAATAAGAGTCCGATTGTTTTTAAATTTCGCACATCTCAATATTTCTATCAACACAAGCACAAGTTCTAAACTTTACACATTCCAATATTTCTACTAAACCAATATCTGATTTGCAGGTAGTAGACATCGGTCCACTCTTTGTGGTACCTCCCCAAAACGGGTCAAAATTTTGAATAACCATGAATCTCATAAAACGGGAAATCCGATTCCATTCAAATCGCTCATCTCAACAGTTGATTCATCAGGAGATCTTGTGTAAATAAAGAAAAGAAAAGGGTCATCTTTTCGGTTACTTATACCACTTATAATATGCGAAACAAGTCAACGATTCTCTATTAATACTTCGCAATAGTTATATCAGACTTAAGTCATATGCGAAATAGAAAATATTGTCCCAGTTCTTCGGTACAATCCCAATAAAGATAGACATTAATAAAGAAGAACATTTAAATATTTTGAATAAGTCATCAGACATAAGCTGAGGGCACTATATGTTGGGGTATTATATTCAGATCGAAATTATCCAATCCAATCCTCACGAAATTTTGCAAGGGGATGGGTTGGGATCAGAATTGTAGCCTATTGTTTTGAAAGATATTTGCAAAATATTTAGAGTTTAAAATGGACTAAAAACCTAAAAATTGTCTAAATGTTGCAGTCGTCCTACAGTTGCCAACTGAGGACAAATAGACATGGAATTTTTTTATCGGGTTAGAGTAGAAGACAGGGCTGAATCCTAGCATTTTGGATGGTCATCGGATAATATTTGGCTGGTTAAATGAACAAAAAAAATACCAAAATTAACGAAATTACAAGAAGGACGGACCTTTGACCCTTAAATTGATGCTGGTTTCCTTAAAGAATATAACCAAATATCGGAGATATAGGAAATCATATAAAGGAATCTAAACTTTCAAATATGTCTAAATCCATTTTGAAAGATTTCGCTTTTGATATAATGTCACGGAGGTATTTATAGGTCATAATGGGATCTAGCTCCGGCGGCGGAACATTGTATGTATTGATCCACTTTTTCGTATAGCCCCACATTTCGTTTCCTCCTATTTTGATCATTTTTGCCACATATTTCCACGGATTTGTCTTAAAATTGGTAATTGTTGTTCTTAATGGGTCTTCGCTCCAGTGGCAGAACATTGAATATCTAGGTCCATGTTTTCCTATAGCCGAAATTACAATCCTAGTCATATTTACCCACGATTTGTTTCAAATTTGGCATTTAAGACTCGCAATAGATAGGAATCGTTGTAATATAAAGTTGTCTGTATGGGCACCCGTTTTGGTATGACCCCATATTACGGCCTCCCTCAATTTTAGGGTTTTTGATGAGATCAACTGCATTATCCAAACAGTCTTACTGATATATGAAGTTTAAAGTGGAACACGCTTGAATTCAGTCACTTTTATATAAAAATGTTTCCCTTAGCCGGAGGTGGAGCGTATTCAGATCTATGGTCATTATTCCAAAACAGGAGCAATTAGGTTCAACATTTGTGGTAGATATGTAAATGTTGCTTAGGGGAATATTCATTCAAGTCAAAAGGGTTTCAGATCTACAGAAACTTTACCGCAAATCGTAGTGTTGCAAGGTCGGCCCGCCCGACTGTAGCCTTTCTTGTTTCTTGAATGAAACAAGTAAAAAAGCAGGAAGTGGACCTGCATAGGCAAGTTTTGTCACAAGCTATTACAATTTTCAAATGCGAAACTTGAAAAAATCTGTTTATAATGTAGCTAAAATCATAAAAATACCGAATATAGGGAGGTATCATGGGGGTTATAGAACGTGGACCTGTGAAGAAAATTTTCTGTCTTAGGATGTAGTATCTATTACGAACTTCAAATACCAAATTTGAAACAATTCCGGTAAATAATGTGGCTAAAATCATCAAAATACCGAATATCGGAGAGTACCGTTATATGGGGGCTATACGAAGACGTGGACCTACATGGCCCATTTTCAATACCAAAAATCCTGCAGACATAATACATTTGAGTAAAATTTTATAAACCTACTTCATTTCGTTCGGAAGATAGAGTGATTTCCATAGACGGACACGATGAAAGACGGACGGACATAATCTAATATAATACATATACATAATTAATAATTCTCTTCCAGGGGGTAAAGTACTCACAAAGAATTCCCTGTTTGGATTTTCAGACAATTCCTTGAAAAATATGGCTAAAATTATAAAAACACCGAATATTATTGTGGACTTATATAAACTTATTGTGGACTTATATAAACAATTCTATTCTAGGGGATAAAGTACTCACACGGAACTCCTTGTGTGAATTTTCAGGCAATTCCGTTGAAAAATACGATATTGTGGACTTATATAAACAATTCTCTTCCAGGGTATAAATAACTCACAAAGAACTCCTTGTGTAGAATTTCAGATAATTCCCTTAAAAATGTGGCTGAAATCATTAAAATACCGAATATCGGGGGGTACCTTTATATGGGGGCTATACGATATCGTGGACCGATATAGCCCATCTTCCAACTTGACCTGCCTGCAGACGAAAAACTGATCTGTGCAAAATTTTAGACAGCCAGGTCTAAATCGTCTTAAAATTTTTACGCTGATCAAGAATATATGTGCTTTGTTGGGCCTAAAATTATTGTTTCGATGAGTTACAAATGGAATGACGAACTTAAAGTTCGGCCGGGCAGTCAATACTTTTGATGTCTCCAACACATATTAAAAAGTATTACGAACAAAATGATGGAGGGATTTAAAATAGTCGTGGGATTTAAAAATTCCCTAATGTAAGGGTAACCCTGTTTTGCACATAACACGAATACAAATATTTGCAGATGTGTATACTCACTTCTACGATAGCTATGTATGTATGTACAAATGTGTGTAGTTTTATAGTAATATAAAATGAATACATACAACGAACATAACTGAATTTACGTAAATTGAATGAACCTTAAGTAGCATGGAAATTCTTAAGACAAACTGATGGAAAGTCTTATCCTTGTCATGAAAAACGACGCTCAGTATTCAATGTCCGAAAAAGCAACAACGTCAGCAGTAGCAGAAACGTCAGCAGCACAGCAGTTCCTTATTTGAGCAATGGGTGTTAAGCTGTTAAACATTGCCTCAATGGCATGCCATCCATGACTTGGCTGGATGATTGGAGAGCAGACAGGAGACTGGCGGAAGGCGAGCAGACAGGCTCACCACTGCCTTGCCGCAGAAGCGTGTGACCCCCACTTAGTAGGCCACTCTATTTTCCATGGTAATGCAGTCACTTTTTGGGGGTTCAACGCGTTAGACAGCCAGCCAGCTAACGGCTGCTGACGAAAAATCCGTCGGTTGTTTTCGTTTTTTCTTTGTTGAAATGTAACAGAGAAGAATAGTTAAAAGAAAGGCGAAAAATAAAAGAAAAATAAAACCAGAGCTAATAAAACACAACAAAAATTAATACTAAATTTAATTCACTGAAAGATTTTTTAAATGGTAATGGCTTTGAGAATTTTGAAAAGTGCTATTCGACAAACAACAGCAACAACTCCAAGGCAACATGTCGCACCTATTGAAACGTACGAAAAAGTCCTGCATAAAGGTAAGTGTGGCGTTTTTTGCGTGTTCTGGCAAAATAATTAGTAGAGATAGGTTCGGGGGACAGTGGCTATCCCATTGGTTAATAGTTGTTGTATTTGCGCCCCAAAACTAAATCAATAATATTGATTTAGAAAGCCATAACAATAGATGGGCGATTATCCTTGTAATGTTTTGTTGGCGCTGTTGTTGTTGCGTTCGAACAAAACAGCGACGACGGGGCCATGTTAATGACCACAAAACAGGAAATGATAAAATAAACGTGGAAATTTTCTAGAGCATGAAACGAGTAACCCCTCCATAGCTGACCTAAAAATATTCTATGGAATTTGTGGCCTTTGTATTTCCGCAGGATATTTTAAAATAACTTTGTTTTGTTATTTCTCGGAAAGGAAGCGGCATGGAAAAACTTAAACAGTTATTTAAAGGCATTTGAAGATTAATTACATTTAAAGGATTCAATAGGTCTAAATATGGATAATAAAAGAAACATTTAAAAACAAAATTATCGGATTTCAATATTCAACAGAGTTGAATTTAAAATTGCGAAACATAATGTAGTTAAGAAGTTACGATTTCCAAAAATTAATTAGAAAACCAATTACATAGACATAAAATTGTAAAGACTAGACGAAATACATTATGGAAATATAGTGGAGGAGGTACCAGAGGGTAGTAAAAATATTGGGAAATTTTTATGTTTTTGCATTTTATGAGCGTTTAGTTATTCAAAATTCTGTCCCCTTTGTGGGAGATTACAGGAATGAGTATTCCGATATCCACACCTGATCTCATGATGGAATAAATATTAGGATGTGCCGAGTTTTAAAGGAATAGAATGTTCATTTCGCGTTTTATTAGCTTTACGGCGTTGATAGAAATATTGAGATGTACGAAATTTGATTTTTTCCACATTTTATAACAGTTATAATTATTCAGGATTGGGTGTGAGGAATTTGAAGAAAATCGCGCTGGTATTTCACATTTAAAAGAGAAGACTTGCTGACATGCATAAACCGACTCAGAACGTGATTTTATAAAGATCATCCAAAAAAAGTAGGGTTTATCTCACGTATTTCTACCTGTTAAAAACAAATGCACAACGACAAATCACCCTCTACCACAGTGTGGTGTGGCCTGACCGAACTTTTAATACCATACACCATTTTGAAGGATCTTGAAAAAACTTTAAAAAATCCGTCGGAATATACAGCTTAAACGAAAACCGCTATATTGAGCTACGAAAACGTGGACCTGCATACGAAAATTTTTGCCATAGGTTGTAGTACACATTAAGATCTTCCAATACGAAATTTGAAACGATTAAGGTGTATAATGTTGCTAGAATCATCAAAGTACCGAACATCGGGGGTATTATTATATGGGGCCTGTACCAAAACGTGGACCTATACATACAATGTTTCGCCACCGGAGCTAGAACCCATTATGACCAACAAATACCAATTTTTAGACAAATCCGTAAAAATAAATGACAAAACCCATCAAAATACCGAATATCGGGAGGTACCGTTATATGGGGGCTATATAAAGACTTGGACCGATATCAACAATGTTTTGCTAGAACCCATTACGAACTACAAATACCATTTTTTCATTTTGGTAATAAATGTTTTTCACTGCATTAATGAATGTCTTTCATTGTATTAATGAAGGAATGTCATTGCATTAATAAATGTGTTTCACTGAATCAATAAAGAATTTTCATTATATTTATGAACAATTTCGTTAATTTTACATTAACGAAACTCAATGAAACTTTTTTCGTTTATTCAATAAACCTCTAAGTTGTTTCAAAATCGATAAAAAATTTCATTGAAGGTATGAAGCTTTTTCTTTCAGTGTAGGACACATCTCAAAAACCAACATCATAAGTCCAGGATACACGTGGACAGCGACCCTACCAAATTTCAGATTTCAAGAACTATCTGTTCAACCAATACAAATTGTGCCACATTTAGTACCATATTTTGCTATATGGTACTAAATGTAGTACACATTTCCAAAACCATCTTCATATCTCAGTTTCAGATGCCAACAGAGAACTTAATATTAAATTTAATGAATCTAGCCCTATTCCTTCGACTAATGCCAAATTTGGTACTATTTAGTACTTTTCGAGCAATTATAGGACACATCTCCCAAACCACCTCCATAAGTCCAAGATACACGTGGACAGCGACCCTACTCCATCACCCAATATCATGTTTAATACCATTCAGTACTTTTCGAACAATTATAGGATACATTTCGGAAACCTGGACACATGGAGGCTAACCCACCAAATGATACCATTTTAGAACTTTTCGTAACCTTTATAATTGGTACATCTATCCTGCACTACATTACTGACTCTCACTCTGAATTCTAGCTCATTACATTTGTCAAATACAATGTATTAATTTTTTAGTATATTTTAATACTTAATTCACATACCTACGCACAAAGACTGGGTCTCGTGCAAATTTTGAAGATTCAGCTTCAACCGCTTCGTCTGGGCGTTGATTTTGGGTCAGTCAGTTATTTCTCTACTCTTTTATAAATAAAGGTCAAGGTAAACGTCTATTAATCGATTACTTAAAGTCTCTAGTTTTAATTAGCCCACATTTGATGCTTCCTATGGTTTTGGGGTGGAATACTATGGAATGTGGCCGCTGCATTAAGGTTCGTCATGGAATAGCTGCATGTCCAAAACTCAATGGATATTAAAATCAGCGTACACAAAGAAACTATTGGAAACTTTTGCAATCGTTCCGTTCTGTATTTTCTCGAAGAACGAAACGAAACAAAACCGATATTAAGATAACGGGACTTGTGTTTTATTTTGTATTGTTTGTGTGGATGAGTGGAAACAAAAACAATACTGAAACGTACTATACTGGATGACGCAACAACGAAACAGTACAATACTCACTGCAAACGTTTGCAAACGTTTCCCTGTACATTAGCTTATTACAAATAATGAAAAACCTAATATTAGAATAAATTCATGGCTATTTATTAATTTATTATGTCTATCATACAATGTAAAACGGTAGAAAAATCAAAATGTTGAGTGCCAACTCTAAATGTACCAGTCATCATTACGCACAGCAAACGTTTGGAAACGTTTCCCAGCGATTCGTTCGCAAACAATACGTTAAAGGCAATCGTATTGTTTGTGTACGACTGGCATTGAAATGTATGTGGTTTTGTTTTGTTCGGAGTACAAAACGATTGAAAAAATTTTAAAAGTTTGTGTCTTATTGTGCGCGGTACGTTAATCGTTTCGTTTGTTTTCGTTCGACGTACTGGTATTTTTTCATGATTTTCTAGACTTTCTGTGCGCTGTGCTTCTCCCTATCATATCTGCTTGTGATCCTCTAAGGTCTGTTTCATTGCCTTCTCTAAAAGAGACTAAAATTTGCATTGTAGGGGGCTATTAAAAAAGTTTTCCATCTGACACTTTCCAATTGTTATTATGTTTTTCCCAAACATATTTACCGTTGTTTACAAAAATTCCTACTCTTTCTTTATTTCAGCTTATTCGCAAAATTTCAAACAAACAGATTTTCCTTAAACGTTTGGAAGAGGAGGACATATCGACCGATGTGGACATATCTGTGGAGGCTAAGGAGAGGGACATCAATCAAAATGAGAACATATGCATGCAACCGCAACAACAAAAACTTTCCACTTGCTATAAGAAACACAAAGATAAATCTCACTCTCCGCTCTCCTCCACAGAGGATATAACAAAAGAGAGAACCAAACGAAAATTACCCATTCATTTGGAAGATCTAAGTTCGGATAAACCTGTCCTCCAAAGTTTAACCTCAAAATTATTTCTCACAGCAGATGGTTATGAATTTCAGCGTCTTCAACAGTTACGCAGCGATACAGCTTCCGAAATAATCCCCTATGATCCGGAATTTGCAAAGTGTTCGGCAAGGGAGTGCTCACGTGAGAGGCCCACTTCGTTATTTAGTGAAGAAGAGGATTTCGACGACGTTGAAAAGAAAATCGAAGTTGTTTTCGAGAAGGTCAAGTACAAAGAAGATGTCCGCTATCTACGCCATACCCCGTCCACTTGTAGCCTAGACAATTACATAATTCGCGACGAAGACGACAATGAGGAATTGACCCAGCCAACTGATGAGGAGCATATTCTAAATACCACCAATCTAATGCAAAATCAAAATAACAACAACAATACCATTTGTCGGACTCGAAATAGTTTCAACGGCATTGACAACCAAATGTTTACTTCCTCAATGCCGGGCGAATGCCTTGCAGATGCCAAGCGAGAGGATGATACCACCACCAGAGGCCTTCAGAATCCAGCCATCAACAGATATGCTTGCGAGTTCCAAGAATCCTCTGATAATTGTGATGGCATTCAGCTAGAGCTGCAGCATTCGCCCCAACAACCTCCGCCGCAACAGCATCACTATTATCACACCTCCTCCCAACCATCTAATCAAAATTTGCTTCCACTCAACGTTAGTCTAGGTTGTATTACCGATGGTAATTATCATCAGTTGTTCATTGGCGAGCAGCGGGATGCCTTCTACAAGCTGACACCTGTCGTCAAGTGGGATATCAACGGCAATTCTTTGGAGGATGATGATTTTCCCGTGTTCGATGCCAATCACCACCTAAATAATTCTCCAGCTAAATCAAGTTTACGTTCCAGTTCCACAACATTGGAGACATGGTTGGAAGTGGAATAAGAATCTCCAAACTCCAAAATATACATTATTCTATACATATATATACATTTATGAAAAAAGTGCCCTTAATTGTTATCATGCCTACTAACATACATACATACCTACACATACAAACATATGTAACTCAAAAATTACATATATAATGCACAAGACTCCTACCAAGCTCCGCCCAGATTGAAATAAATTATTCATGCAATCTTAATTATATTATTCAAAAGGAAAGTGAAATTAGTTGTTACTTTGGTTATGGTATGATGGTAAGTATTCCGACTTAAGACTTTTCTTTGCCGACTTAAGACTTTTTCTTTGCCCAGCTAAACCCTTGGAAATTCTTCTGTAGAATAATAATTCATAGGTTCTCCATTTTGATGTTTCATATGCAAAGAGTTAAAATGGTAATGACTGGACAAAATGAATTTTGATATTACAGGCATGATGAACAATAACCTTTAAATCGGATGAATATCTATACCGAAGCTATAAATTTGAACCGATCTCAATAAAACTTGCCAGAGGTATTCTCGAGCCGTAATTTATGTCTGGATTAAATATTATTATTGTGGAGTGCATATTACGCATGTGAGAGACTTAAAACCCCAAATCGGATGAAACATATATATGTGAGCTATAGTTATACCTAAATCCGATTTCCACCAAATTTGAAGTACCTGTTTCTAGAATAAATTATTTCGGAATTGATAAAATTCTGTCTATTTCGGTTGATATTAGCCGTTTGGTGCACAATAAACCTGAAATCGGATAAATCTATATCTATAAAAGAGGAAAATGTTTGTATGTTTGTTTGTTTGTAATTTATGGACTCGAAAACTGCTGAATAGATTTTCCTGAAAATTTCCATATATACTGCAACATCGCCTGAAAGTAACATAGGCTATATACATTTTTGAATTTCCACTTGGAACTGGAGATATAGCATCAGAATCGGAGGTACCTCCCAAAAATTTAGATTTTATATGCACATATCTATTGATTGGTTGAAGACACAGTCTCCAAATTTGGAATACGTAACGGAATTTGGAACAAAAATAAGTTTGCCAAATTATATTGTAATCGGTACAGATTTGGATATAGCTCCCATATATATTTTCGACCGATTTCGTTTATTTGATGCCTCAAACACAATATGAACGTTCGATTCCAATGAAATTTGGAATGTGTGACGGAATTTAATCCGAAAATAAATTTGTCAAATTATATTGAAATCGGTCCAGATTTGGATATAGCTCCCATATATATTTTCGGCCGATTTCAAGCATTTGATGCACCAAACACGCTATGTATCCCCGATTTCAATGAAATTTGAAACGTGTGATAGATTTTATCTAAAAAATTGATTTCACAAATTATATTGAAATCGGTTCAGATTTGGATATAGCTCCCATATACATTTTCGGCCGATTTCATGTATGGTGGACCAAACACGATATGTATTTCCAATTGTGATGAAATTTAAAATAAGTAACGGAATTGGGAGCCAAAATGAATTGGTCAAATTAAATTGAAATCGGTTCAGATTTTGAAATGTGTAGCGGAAATTAAAACAAATATACATTTGTCAAATTATATTAAAATCGGTTCCGATTTGGATATAGCTCTCATATATATTTTCGACCGATTTCATGTATTTTATGCACCTTACACGATATGTATGTTGGATTCCAAAGAAATTTGGAATATGTATCGGGATTTTGATTAGAAAACAAGTAAGCAAAGGCTACAGTCGAGCGGGGCCGACCGTTGAATACCCTACAACACTATAATAAACGATACAGTTTATGTAGGCGAGATACTCGAAAGAATTCCACAAGATATTGTGACAAATAATAAAAGAAAACCATCAGGTTTCGTTCTCTAATTTTCGAATAATAGCAACTTTAACTATATTCTTCAACGAAATCAGCGTTAACGAAATAGTCAGAAGTGCGTCTTTCTTGTATTTGCGAATTCTCCAAAGAGTCACTGGAATGGACATTTTCGTATTTTGTCTACAAAAGTTGGCAAACTATTTCGCACATTGAATATTTTTTGATGGCCATCCAAAACGGCTTGGTTTTTGCAATGTCCGGTAACCCCCATTCAAATGTGCGTGAGGATCGGGCGATAATTACGACCTGCTGACAATTTTGCAGTTTTTTGGTCCATTTCAACCCCGATCATCTCCAAAAAGAGTAGGCTAGAATTCTGACCCTCATCTTATCCCCATGCGAAATTTCGTAAGAATCGGGCCATAAATGCGATCTGTATATGATATCCTGATATCCTAACTACTTAGTTTTGTTAGCTGTAGAAATATTACCAAATGTTTAATTCAAAATGAAAATATGCCAAAAATATGACAAAATTGAAAATATATGAAAAAATTTTACAAAATCAATATTTTCATCTTTAGAGAGATATGTTTATGCGATTTTTTTAGACGTTTCTTCTTTCCTGCCAAGAGGCCATTCTGAATTAATGAGAACTGTCGCAATCAGTTCAGCCGTTCTCGACGTATAAGAGATCTTTCAAGCATATCTTCTTTCATAGACATATATATCGCACATATTTTGCTATATATCCGATTTGTTGGATGTTAACATCAATGTAAAGATCAGAAGTAACCTTGTCATGGCTTCGTGATTTCGCCAGGATTTAAAATATTTGCGGTTTAATGAAAATTTTTGAATTTTTTAACACAAAATATATGGTCTATTTTACCCGCTAAATATTATCCGATAACCACCCAAATTGGTAGGCTTCTTCCCCGCCCTAAACTCTAGCTACATGCGAAATTCCGTCGATTGGTCTATAATTGCGACCTGTATAGCTACTGCAAAATCCGAAATTTTTTCTGTATTTGGTCCATTTCAATCCCTAAATATTATGCGATCATCTCCAAAAGAAATAGGGTTCTATTCTGACCTTAACCCCACCTCCATTTTCAATTTCGTGAGGATCGGGCCATAATTGCGACCTGTAGCGTGATTACAAATTAACATGGACAGACGGACGGACATACATAGCTAGATCGACTCAGCTCGGCGAGCTAGGAAGATCCATATATACTTTCCTATGTGGGAAACCAATATTTCGAGGTGTTACATAAATTCTGGCCCAATGAAACTTATAATACCCCCAACACATAGTGTTGTAGGGTATAATAAATTAGTCAAATTATATTAAAATCGGTTCAGATTTGGATATAGCTTCCATATATATTTTCCGCCGATTTCACATATTTGATGCACAACACACGATACGTATATCCGGTTCCAATGAAATTCGGCATGAGTGGCTAAATTTGGTACAAAAATAAATTTGACAAATTATATTCAAATACGCTCAGATTTGATTATAGCTCCCATATATATACTCAGCCGATTTCATGTATGGTGGACAAAACACGATATGTATTTCCAATTGTAATGAAATTTAAAATAAGTAACGGAATTGGGAGCCAAAATGAATTGGTCAAATTAAATTGAAATCGGATCAGATTTGGATATAGCTCCCATATATATTTTCGACCGATTTCATGTATTTGATGCACCAAACACGCTATGTATCTCTAATTTCAATGAAATTTGGAATGTGTAGCGGAAATTAAAACAAATATACATTTGTCAAATTATATTAAAATCGGTTCCGATTTGGATATAGCTCTCATATATATTTTCGACCGATTTAATGTATTTTATGCACCATACACGATATGTATGTTGGATTCCAAAGAAATTTGGAATATGTATCGGGATTTTGATTAGAAAATAAATTAGTCAAATTATATTAAAATCGGTTCAGATTTGGATATAGCTCCCATATATATTTTCCGCCGATTTCACATATTTGATGCACAAAACACGATACGTATATCCGATACCAATGAAATTCGGCATGAGTGGCTAAATTTGGTACAAAAATAAATTTGAAAAATTATAAAAATACGCTCAGATTTGATTATAGCTTCCATATATATACTCAGCCGATTTCACATATTTGATGCACCCAAAGCGAGAGACACAAAATCAGGCACCAGAAAAAATTTCCTACTAATATAGTAAAATCAGTTGAGGTTTGGATATAGCTAACATATATATTTCGGCCGATTTCATACATGTTATGCACCAAACATGATATATATGACCGATAAAAATAAAATTCAAAATGTGTGGCGGAATTTGGTTACAATAATAAATGTGACAAATTAATTGGAAATTAGTTAAGATTTGGATATAGCTCCCATATATATTATAGCTCCCATATATATTTGACGCACCAATTTCAATGAAATATGAAAGGTGTGGCGGAATTTGGTGTAAAAGTAATTTTTTTAAAATTATATTTAAACCGGATCAGATTGGGATATCATTTTAATAAGAACCATTGACCCACAACGCCTTAGGCTAACACTAAAAAACAACACAACAATTGATTTGAAATACGCTTATTACGGCGAAGTATGTTGCTATCTCGAATTCACTAATTGCAATAGAAATGCCTCTCAACTTCAAAAGATTGCAGTTTACTGCACGCTTGGTATTTGCTATGAAATAAATAAATCCGAAGGACAAACCCTTCGTGTATGTATGTCATGTTACTGCTTTTCTAATGGTTTTGTTTATTTACGCATTAAAGTAGTGCAATATTTTTTTTTTAATTTTTAAATTTGTTTTTTTTTAACCAACATATATTCGTAAATAAAATTTTGCATGCATATAAAATCAAAAGGGGTAGCGAAGGGCACCGGGTTCAGCTAGTATATACATATATGGGAGCTATATCTAAATCTGATCCGATCTCGACAAAATTGGACCGAAGTAATTTTGAGCTCAATAATTTATCCGGAACCATATATCACTCTTGTGGAGTGCATATTACGATTATGAGTGACTTAAAATACCAAATTTGATGAAACATTGCTATAACTCTGGACCTATTTTCTCCAAATTTTAAGTACTTATTTCTATGCTGAATTCGGTCGGATGTGTTGAAATACATCCTATTTGGACGAATATTACATATATAGTGCACAATAAACCTGATATCGGATAAAGACATATGGGAGCTATCCAAATCGGATCCAATCTCGATAAAATTTCGGAAAGGGATTTCTGAGCTCCATATGTTATCTGGTATCAAACATCATTGTTGTGGAGTGCATATGACAAATTTGAGGGATTTAAACATCAAATCGGATGAAAAATATATATGTGAGGTATAGC